GCTCTTCATACTTAATTCTTGTGAAATCAGGCATGATCTAGCTAGCTATTAGTAAAATATTTGGATGGTAATTTTTTATCTTTTTTTTAAACTAAGTTCTATAGTTTTCTAAAACTAAGTGCTCACTGTTGGATAGCACTCGGTAACCTAATTTTTAGAAAATTAGAAGCCTAAGGTTTTGTTAAAATAGAAAAAGATTTTGACATCAAGACAACTCATGGCACTGTGTCTACACTTAATTTGCTTTAGATAGATAATTGCATAATAGAATTTATCCCAAGACTTGTCAAAGGAGGTAGAAGAATGGCTGATGAGATCATCTCATAATTTTGTCCTCAATCTAAACCTGCATAAATATTAGACATAGAGAGGCCTAAAGTAGTTGAGAACTCCTTTATTTAGCTAAGATTGCTTTTTATCTTGTTTCATGTCCTATCTTATAATTTTTAAATGAAATTATGCTCCTTAAATTTTCATAATTTTCCATTTGTGTATAAAATGTAATTGGTATCTACTGATTTTAAATTAACATATCCTTCCATATATAAGGAAAATGTTAAACTGAAAATATATCTGATAGCTATTATTATCTAATTCATATTGAGTGATTTAATCTAATTTAACATAGCAACTTCTAAAGGTAAGTAAGAATTTTTTAAATTTTTACCAACTATCATAGTCTTACAGCCTCTGTTTTAAAGGTGTTTAAATATACAGTATTTTTGTATTCAACTTCTCATAGTTGAAGAGATTTCTCATAGAAATAGTGAAATGAAGCCAGATGATGTTGTGTACACCTGTAATCCAAGCTTCCTGGGAGGCTGAGGCAGGAGGACCACAAATTTGAGGGCATCCTAGGCAATTCAGCAAAACCATATTTCAAAAAAGGATGTAAAATGGTTAAGTGCCCTGGATTCAATCCCTTTAAACCCTTCCCCACACATACACATACACACGAAGATGATTATAAGAATAATTATTTTTTCCAGCAACTCAGGAGGCTGAGACAGGAGGATCACCTCAGCAATAGCGAGGTGCTAAGAAACAAACTGAGACCCAGTCCTATTTAGAGACCCTGTCTCTAAATAACATACAAAATAGGGCTGCGGGTGCAGCTCACTGGTCTAATGCTCCTGAGTTCAATCCCCAGTACAAAAAAAAAAAAAGAAGAAGAAGAAGAATCGGGCTGGGGATGTAGCTCAAGCAGTAGCGCGCTTGCCTGGCATGCGTGCAGCCCGGGTTCGATCCTCAGCACCACATACAAACAAAGATGTTGTGTCCGCCGAAAACTAAAAAATAAATATTAAAATTCTCTCTCTAAAAAAAAAAAAAAAAGAAGAAGAATTTTGAAAATTCAAGCTGGGCAAGGTGGCACACATCTGTAATCCCAGCAGCTAGAGAGGCTGAGGCAGGAGGAACACAAGTTGGAGGCCAGCCTGGGCATTTTAGCAAAACCCTGTTTCAAAAAAGGCTGTAACCCAGTGGTAAAGTGCCCCTGGATTCAATCCCTGTAACCCTCCCAACACACACACACACAAGAAGATGATAAGAATAATTTTGAAAATTCAAGATGGGAATGCTGGCACATACCTGTTAATCCCAGCAGCTAGGGAGACTGAGGCAGGAGGATCATGAGTTCAAAGCCAGTCTCAGCAACTTAGCAAGACCCTGTCTCTAAATAAAATATAAAATAGGGTTGGGAATGTAGTTAAGTGCCTGGGTTCAATTTCTGGTACAAAAAAAAAAAAAAGTTCACTGTTTTGTTTTTTGCAGTACTGGGATTGAATCCAGGGGCATGTTACTACTGAGCCATATCCCCACAGCCCTTTTTATTTTTAAATTTGATACAATGTCACTAAATTGCCGAGGCTGACCTCAAACTTGGAATCCTCGTGCCTCACCTTCCTGAGTGACTGGGATTACAGGAATGTGCCAGTACCAGCAATAATCTGATTCTGTTACTTATTTCTATTAGGGGGAAAATGCTTTAATATAGAAAAGTTTTAAAGAAATAACTTGGAATTAGGATTCATTAAAGAATTGAGAATAATATGCAAAATAAGTGAAAAAAGTTCCATTAGATTGATTCTAGACATAAGTTATTTTCCGTTAGTTGTCCTCTTTTAAAGTCTTAGTTACTTTCATTGCTTCTCATTCAGTAATGTGTGTACAGCTGTTCAACTCATCTAACAAGTCACTTCGTTCAGAGGCACTTTTCTTGTCTCTTCAATGTCATTTTATTAAGATAGCGTGTATGAAAAGTCAGTGGCTTAGAAGCTATGAAAATAAAGAATATAAACAGTTCTAATGCAGTACAATAAAAGTCATTTATGAGTATTATGCTAAAGAAATATTTAGATAGCTTGATAACTCTTCCAAGGGAATGAGAATGTAAATAGAAGGTAACACTGTTCCTATCCCAAAGAAGTTAAGTATGACCATGTTCAAATACTTGAAAATTATTTCTGCTGTTGGTTAGTTGTGAGGCCCTTTGCAAGAAAATTTCTTTCTCTAATCCTATATTTTCCAGTGAGAGACTGAACTTGACTGTCATGTCCCAAGTTTTTATAATCCTAGAAGAGAATCAACCTCCTCTAGTATATCAGTTTTGCAAATAGTACACTGACATGATTTACAAAAGCAAAGGAGAGCCAGGTGCTGTGGCGCACACCTACAATCCCAGTGGCTAGGGAGGTTGAGGTAGGAGGATTGCCAGTTCAATTTAGTGAAGCCTAAGCAACTTAGCAACACCCTGTCTTAAAATAAAATGTAAAAAGGGATGGGTATGGGGCTCAGTGATTAAGTACCCCTAGGTTCAATCCCTGGCACTAAAAAAGGGGAAAGTGAAATCTTATATTTGGAAAATTCAGTATTACAATAAAATTATGGAAATTATATTTAAGTTGTCCATTAAAGAAGAAAAATCTACATTTGTTTTTCTTACCCTTTGTCATGTTGACACCTTGACTTCATGACCAGGTTTCCTTAACAAAAAGGAAAACTTCCCCCACTAGAATTTGGAGAGGCAACATAATATGAAAAAATAGTAAGAAATAAACATTTGAAAATTTTGTCAAACAAATCATATAATTGAAGAAATGTGGCTTACTGAATAATTTATTTAAGTTTAAAATCAATATTCAATTTTCTAAAACAATAAAAATTGCAATATTTTAGTATATTTTCTTAAGCAGTATGCTAAATATCAATAAACCTTATAAAGATCTTATCAAGTCTTGTGAAGTATTATGTAATATGCTATAGACATAGGAGTTTAAGAATTGTGCTAAATGTGTTTTAAGCTCGGTAGTGCCAAGGGTGTTTAACATGTTTTTCTTTCTTCCGTGATGCTAGAGATTGAACCATTGCTTCATGTATCCTACACAAGCACTGTACCACTGAGCTAAATCCCATCCCGCATTTTTTTGTTAAAATATACTTTTAAAAAAATGTAGAATGCAAGTTACTAGGCCAGGCTGGGCAACTTGGTAAGACCCTGTCTCAAAAAAAGAAATGGGGCTTGGGGTGTGGCTCAGTGGTAGAGTGCTGCTATGTTCAATATCAAATACTGGGGAAAAAAATGCAAGTGACTAATTCAGGTTAACTATTGATTCAATTTGAAGAATTCCAGCCTTTATCAAGCCAAATTTCACTTTACTCCAAAGTGAGTGAAATTATATTGTATTCATAATTTCACTGCTTATTTGGAAGATATATACTTTAAAGGATTCAAATTATAACCCTTTTCAATTATAACTTATTGGTTGTAAGCAATAAATTTCTTCTATCAGAAATGGTTTGAGTCAGGGAGGATTGGGTTATCAAGAAAAACTACTGAGCAGTGTACAATGCCAATGCCTCTAATCCCAGGAACTCTGGAAGCTAAGTAAGGAAGAACACAAATTTAAGCCAGCAAGGGTGACTTGACAAGACCCAAGACCCTGTCTCAAAAAGGGCTGGGGGTGCTGGGGTTGTAGCTCAGAGATAGAGTGCTTGCCTTGCATGTGTGAGGCACTGAGCTTCATCCTCAGTACCACAAAAAGATAAATAAATAAAATAAAGATATTTTGTCCATCTACAACTATATACATTGTGTGTGTGTGTGTGTGTGTGTGTGTGTGTATATATATATATATATATATATATTTTTTTTTTTTTTTAAAGGACTGGGGATAGGGCTCAATGATAAAGCACCCCTGGGTTCAATCTTGGTACCATTAAAAAAAAAAAAAAAACTGGTTAGGTCATGGCTGTTATTATAAGTGATAGAGTAGGTCAGTTATTCATATATAAATTTATTTAATGTGATAATTTGAGGTTTAAAATTCTGAGAATATAGTTTCATCAAAATAATTATTAAAATACTACTTTAAAATATCTTATTTGGGGGCTGGGGTTTTCGCTAGTGGTAGAGCACAGGCCTAGGTTGTGTGAGACACTGGGTTCAATCCTCAGCACCACATAAAAATAAATAAATAAATATAAAGGTATTGTGTCTATCTACAATTAAGAAACTATTTTTTTTAAATGTCTTGTTTTCTGTTTGCATTTTTCAAGTGAGATAATCTTCATTATTAAGGACATATTCTATGCCCAGTACTTCACTATAGAACATAAAGATGGTGCCTACTGGCAAATAACTTTTCGCCTAGGTGAGAATGTTGTACTAACATATAAGCAACAACTAGAGAACAATAAAATGTAAACTATCTTGCAATTTAGAAGTATAGTAGAAACTCAAAAGAAATGTGGACTTAGACTGAGAGAAGACTTCTTAGAGAAGGTAAAGGATGAGTTGGGCTTAAAAAGTGGATGGGATTGATTAGGTGAATTGAAGGAATGATAGACTTTCAAGTACATAAAATAACATGAGCCAAGGAGTGATCAGGTAGGAAGAAGTAAAGTACATACAATAGACTGAAGGAATAGAGTAGGCTTTCGGGACAGGTAGGGAAATTAATATAACCATGTTTGAGATTATTTTCCTTCCTTTTCATAAGGTGATCTCATTTCTAATCAAAGAAAACAAGTATTCAGATTGCCTGCAGCCCCTCAAGAGCCAAGATATGATGCTTTGAAGAAGAAGAAGAAGAAGAAAAAAAGCCTGTAAGAAATAATTGAAAGGAAACAGGCTTAAAAAATACAAGTTTACCCTAAACGATTTAGGAAGTCTGTGGCTCTTACCAAATCAGGTAAGAAATATTGAGGGGAAATGGTTGCATAGCCAAAATTCTATCCAGGATCTTTTTTGATAAATTACCACTATAGGAATGTCTGTGATCTAATTACAATAGTTGTTAAGCCAAAGAGAAATGAGCCTTTTCCAAACCTCTCTCTGATTTTCATCCAAGCCTTAGCTCAAGTTATTTTCTCCTAAAAGGTCCTTTCCTTCATCTTCAGTTGGCTAAATCTTCTTATGCCATCTACCTCCTACATTAAATTTTCCCAATTCTCTTTTCTTCTTTAGCCAAAATGCTATTTCTCCCTTTTGCGCTTCTGTACTTAGAACAATTAATACATACTGCCTTATGAAAATGACTGTCGTATTCTTACTATAATACTCTAGAAACTTTGCATAGTGTCTTGAACATAGTGGGTGCTTGATAAATAAACATTGATTGCTAAAAATCAGCAGTAATGCCATTTATAGTAAAATAGTATTTTCTAGAAAGGCTGAATACCAGCTAGCTAGATACAAAAATACCTAGATTCTTTTTTGGTACTGTAGGAGTTCTCCAACTTTTACTACATCACTTAACCAGGGTTACTCATGTTCTGTCCTGCCTACTAATATTCATGCTTCAAGTCATAAATACCTTAAAGTGTCTTTTTCCTTTTGTTTTTGTTTTGTTTTTTGTTTTTGAACCAAAGCCAGAAACTAGACTGGGAGTATTGCTCAGTGATAGAGTGCTTGCCCAGCACATCCTAGGCTCTGATTTTAAGCCTCAGCACCTCAAAACAATAACCAAAGCCTGAAACCTATGGGCAAGGGAATGAATAATCAGGAGTATGGTATTTGGATATCCCACTTGAGGACCTTGAATAATCTAATTGATCATTTCTAAGCTTTCCATAAAATATGAAATACTGTGAATTATTACCTATTGGCCTTTATTTGTATGTCCTTGAGAAGATAGGAAGTGTTAGTAGATGAAGTCTTTAAGTTAAAAAAGATACATTTTAAGGCTGGAGCAGAAAGATTGCAAGTTTGAGGTCAACCTAGGCAAATACCTAGACAAATCAGTGAAGACTGTCTCAAATTTTTAAAAAGGGGGAGGGGATTGGAGATGTAGCTAAAAAGTTTTAATCCCCACCCACCCACTCCCCCCAAAAACTTTAATGAATATCTGAAGTCTCAGCTGAGGCAGGAGTTCAAGTTCACCACACACACACACACACACACACACACACACATATATATATATATATGAAAATTGTGGATCAAATATGTAGAATTTATTTGATAGAACATTTAAGTTATATTTGTATTGGAATATGGATTTATTTTTATGTACCTTTAGAGTTTTTAACATATGTTTTATATGTGTGTATGTTTATATAAGATATATATATACACATCACATATTTTGTGGAGCTAGGTTCAATCCCCTTGACTGAATCAAACCCAAGACCTCAGGAACACTAGGCAAGTGTTCTGTCACTGAGTTACACCCTCATCCTTTATTATATTTTTTGAAAAGCCTATTGTTGGTTTTGGTTTGGCTTTATGGGTAGGTGACATGTTTGTTATATTTGCTATTTAGCCAAAAGTCAGGAATTCAACCAACAAATAACAGTTTCTGTGATAAAGCAGTTTCTCTTCTATCTTGATTTGCTTTATGAACTGTTTTCCAGGTGTGAATTTTGATACCACAACTGCCCAAAAAAAGGTGAGAACTGACTTAAACCACTGTTGCTTAGGCCATGTGGCAAAGGGACTGAGATTGGATGCAGAAAACAGAAGTATATGTAGAGCAGAGGGTCTTACAACACTCACTTTAGTAGAGGGCAATAACTGCCACATGAAATGATCCCCTCAGCACAAAACTGTAAGTAACTTTGGGGACTTACATGGAATTTATACAGTTGTTTCTGCTGTTGATAAAAAATGTCATTTTGTTATTTGTGGCCTGCATGCTTAAAAAACAAGTTGCATTGAATTGTCAAGTTGTGAATTTTCCTGATTTGAAGGTTAGTATTCAAGCCAAAATTCCCCAAAAAGTAATCTGGGATCTGGGCCATAGGAAATGAGGCAAAGGTTACATGAATTTGGATAACTAGGTTAGAACTAAGTCATTGGGCCTTTGCCTTGAAGACTAATTAGAGGACTTTAGTCTTGAAATAATAAGAAATAGGGAGCCATCAGAGCCTCTGACTACAAAATAATGGAAATTGACTTTTTGGAAATTAAATGTGGCAAAACTATATGTAGAAACTTCTAAGAATAAAGTCTGGGGCCAAAGAAACTGGGCATGTGACTATTATAGTAACATAGAAGTAAAGAAAACCTGACTGGAATAGTGGCAATATGAATGGAGATAAAAGAATAAATTACATATTTTAAAAGAAATAACTGTAGAACATCATAATGGTTTGGATAAAAGAAAGATATAACAATTATATACTTTCTGTACTGGAAGAAAATTGTAGTCTCAATAAAAGAAAAAGGACAGTTGAGATGCCAGCTTCATCCAATTTTCGTGTTACATTTAAACTGGTATGTAGGCATTCAGTTTGAAATGCCTTGATTAAACGTTCCTGGATATACAGAACTGAATTCTAACGTAAAATTCAGGAGAAGTAAATTTGGAAGTTATTGACTAACTGAAGCTCTTTATTAAAGACAATGAATCCTTATGAAAAACTACATACACACACATATATATACACATACATTTGTATAAAGAAACGATTTTATTAGGTATGTAATCTTAAATAAATATTCCTAAAATTGAATTGAAATTCTTTTTTCCTTAGAATATCATATCTCAAGCTTGTGCTTGTACAAAAATTCCTACACTTGTATCAGTGTCGATGACTAAAATGTGTTAATACTCTTGAACTTTACCTTTTCCTTTAATAAAACAAAGATCTTTCAAAGTATTAAACTAAAGGAGAAATTGAGAACGTAAGGTTCAAATAATTCAGTCAGTTAAAACTTTATAAAATTGACATGGCTTTAATTTCTCAAATGGAAAGGCAAGTAATTGAATTTGGGGAAGTGTGTTGGTCTCTAGTTTCAAGAAACAGTGTAGCACAAAGATCTGGCAATCTAGCTGAGAAGCTGTAATAATAAACAGAAATTTGAAAACCAGGAAGACAAGTTTTCCAAGAGTGCAACTGTGACATTTCAAAAAAGTTTTAACAAGAAACTTCAGGAGATGGCCAAAAAAAGGTTTAGATAATTGGCATTCCTTCTTTGAATACTTGTGTTTGAGCTCTGGGTACGGTGGTAAACATTTATAATCCTAGCAAATTGGGAGGCTGAGGCAGGAGGATCATAAGTTCTAGGCCAGACTCAGCAACTTAGCAACTTAGCAAGATCCTCTCTCATAATAAAACAGCTGAGAATGTAGTTTAGTGGTAGAGCACTTACCTAGCATGTACAAGGCACTGCCTGGGTTTAACTCCAGTACTAGTACAAAAAAAAAAAAAACTATTTTTGATGGAGAAGCACACTTGAAAATTCTTTCTAAGGTCTGAAACTTTGTCTCACCATAAATCAAGCTTGCTTCTGAAGAAAACTAATAGCCAAAGGAAAAAAAAAAGTTATGTGTGTGGGTGGGGAGAGAGGGGGGCGGTTGGCATTGCTTAAATTGCAAGAGCTTAAAAAATGACCAAGAACTGGGATGTAGATTAATGGTATAGCGCTTGCCTTGCATGTGCAAACCCCTGGGTTTGATTCCTAGCTCAACCAACAAAAAACACAAAGACCAAAAAAAAAAAAAAAAAAAAATTAAAGTAATTGAAAGCAAATTGGCTTTCTAGGAGTGAAAACTTTTGTTTTATAGAATTCCTATTTATAAAGTCAAAATATCTTGCTTTGTTTACCCAGATATTGTTTGTTATAAAAAACAGCCTCCCATCATTACTCTACATCTTTAGTTGATTTTATTGTATGTAAGAAAACAAAAAGAGTTAATCTGCACTTCCAAACCCAGAAACCTTATTCAAAACTCAGAAATCTTATTCAAAACCCAGAAACCTTGGGAGGCTGAGTCAGGAGGATCACAAGTTCAAGGCCGGTTTGGGCACTTAGCAAGACCTTGTTTCCAAATAAAATAAAAAGGGGTGGGGATGTAACTCAGTGGCAGAGTATTTTTCCCTAGCATACCCAAAGCCCTGGGTTCATTCCCCAGCTCACTGGGAATGTGTCTTATGAATATAGCAAGATCTTTAGGCCATTTTACCTTAATCCTTGAATCCAAGTTCAGTGAGCCTACCACCTCCAGTTGGGTTATTCAAAACCCAGAAACCTTTCTTTCTGTGTTTAGGTCCTAGTTACATGTGACTTACGTGCCTGGTCTGCTGCCTTTTACCTGACTCCTAAATCATGAGGTAAGTAAAGATTTAATACCAATTATAGTTATGTGACCTTCGTTCTGATCTTGTATTCTGTTAATGTTTTTAATTGCTAAGCACTCTTCTGGCATTACTTTTTTATCAATAAATTATGTATATTACAATTTTGGCCAGGTTATTTTACTCTGCTTAAATGTATAATTTTGTGTTACTGTCCATGAGTTAGTAGTCCTAGATAGATCTATATTTTCAACTCATTGAATGTAGAATTACCCAAGTAAACTTCAAATAGAAAATACCATGAGGGTTTTTTTCTGTAGTCTGTTATTTGAGTCAGCTCTTTCAGAATGAATTTTATAACATATCCTCATCCATCTTTGAATCAACTATAATTCTTGTTTTTCCAAGTGTCTATTCACTGACACTAAAGCTTTCTAAATATTCTAGTTGAGTTCATTTGAACCTATTAGATACCAAGCTGTGGGGAAATATAAAGACCATTACAGAGAACAGTCCCAGTCCTTATCTTAAAAGAACTTAGGGAACCTCAGACATTGTGACTAGACTTCCTTGGGATTTGTTGTTGTTGTTGTTGTTTTATACAAAAAAGATAAGACAAGCTTCTCCATTTAGCTCCCTATTTGGCAACTCAAAGAAATTCAAGTTCTTTCTAGAAGTGTTGTGAAATTATGAAAAGTAACAGGAACTAGGAACAGTTGCTATTTGATATGTTTACCCAGATGATAGGGTAGAATCATTTGTTTTAATGATTTCTGGATTTAAAGTGTTGGTATGAAATCTGAACATGCATAAGACTGTCCACCTAAAATCCCTGAGAACAAATCTTAGGCACATCGTAGTTTTGGGAGCTAAGTCCTGTTTATTTTTCCATGTTTAGTTCCTTTTATATTCTGTGATATGCATACTACATATTGCCCTTTTTTTTTTTTTTAGTTGGACACAATACCTTTATTTCACTTATTTATTTTTATGTGGTGCTGAGAATCGAACCCAGGGTCTCATGCGTGCAAGGTGAGTGCTCTACCACCGAGCCACAACCCCAGCCCCCATATTTCCCATTTTTGTCCATGTAAGGTTTAGCTTTTTGGGGGGTGGTGGGTAACTCTACATTGAACCTCCAAGGGTGCTTAACCACTGTGCCACATCCCCAGCCCTTTTTATATTTTATTTAGAGACACAGTCTTGCTAAGTTGCTTAGGGCCTCACTAAGTTGAGGCTAGCTTTGAATTTGTGATCCTCCTTTTAGTCTCCCGAGCCACTGGAATTACAGGCATGCACCACTGTGCCTGGGTAGATTTTAGCTCTTCATCCATTGAAAGATTTTTGCATTTGATCAATTTCATAGTTTAGATAAATATACTAAGGCATTTTAAATGATGAAGTTTTTGATGAAATTTTTTATAACTTTTCATCTTTAGTAGGCCTAATAGAAGGCCTAAAATTTGTTGAAGTATAATTCTGTGGAAAAGCTGGTGGGCAATTGTGTTTTTACTTGGTTGTTGCTATTCCAGAAATCCAAGTATTTTTAGTACTATATTTTCATCTCTTTATATCTTGACGTTTTGTTTAAAAACAGTAAATTCAGTGCCATATTGATCTCTTCAGTGTTAGGAAGGTAATAAAATTTTCTAAATTTCTTTTTGAAAATTTCCTCCTAGTAGATTTTACATTATGAAACTTGATGCTACAATCAATTTCCTCAGCAAACAGGAGGTTTAGAATGCTCTTAGCAAATCTGTTGTTACTCCACCACAGTCTCTGGTAATGTATATCTCTGTTATTTATGATAGAAAATCAGTACAAAAGCTTATAAAGCAAAGTTGAAGTTTGTTAGACGTAAATGGTAGACAAAAATAATTGGAAACAGATATGATTCCCTAAACCACATATTTCTCAAGTTGCTTTCTTTCAACCAGTCTCCTAATTTCACAGCTGCCCAAATTATTTCTGCCTTTGCCGTAACCTAATCATGACTTACAAATTAAACTCAAGAGTAAAATTCAGCAATAGGTCTTCTTTTCAGAAAAATCTTTATAGGAAGAACATCCAATCACAAATTATTGAGGCTCAAAAATCATAAGGTAGCCAGCTGTGGCAGCACACGCCTGTAATCTCAGTGGCTCAGGAGGTTGAGGCAGGAGGATCTTAGTTCAAAACCAGCCTCAACAATTTAGCAAGATTCTCAGCAACTTAGACCCTGACTCAAAATAAAACATAAAAAAGGCTGGGGATGTGGCTTAGTGGTTAAGCACTCCTGGTTTTAATCCCCAGTATAAAAAAAAAAAAAAGAATCATAAACCAAAGTCTTTAGTGCCTTGTCAGAAATGAAACTGCAGGTGATGGAAGGAAGCTGACACAAATATAACAAGTGGAAGAACAGAGGAAGCCCAACTATCAAGGATACCATTATGACTAATAAAACTAGGGATCCAAGATGGTTTACACCTGTAATCCTAACTACTTGGGAGACTAAGGGAGGAAAACTGCAAGTTTGAGGTCAGCCTGTCTTAAAGTGAAATTTAAACAAGGAAAGGGCTCAGTAGTAAAGCACTTGCCTAGTATGTGCAAACCCTGGGTTTGATCCTCAGCAACACCAAAAAAAAAAGACTGACAAATCTTTACATGTCATTGTGATGATATACACTTGTGTGTTCAAAGTGGAATGATAGGTTTTTATGATGCTAGAACAAGGTTTTTAGTGTGGATGGCCAAGACAAGCTTTTGCCATTATTTTCTTATAACTTAAAATAGATTAAGGGGCTGGGGTTGTGGCTCAGTGGAAGAGTGCTCTCCTAGCATGCACGAGGCACTGGGTTCAATCCTCGGCACCAAATAGTGTAGAAATAAAGATATTGTATCCATCTAAAAATAAAAAATAAATATTTAAAAAATTTTAAAAAATAGATTAAGAGCTAATCGGTACCTATATAAAAATGTCAGTCTCCCCCCTCCCCCAAACAGGCAAAGAGTTTAATTAGCCTGTGGTGCGTCTAACCTATCCCTATTTTCTCCAGACTACATTTGCCTGCCTCCTTTCCTAAAACAACACTCATTTTGGGTGTGGGAGGCATGTCTAGACATTCCAGTTATAGTGTCCCATTTTAGTTTGGAGTGAATGTAAAGGCTTACTGAGATATTAACAGGTGGGTCTCTAGGTAAAATAATCTCTGAAGTATTTACTAAAATAAGAAGCTCTTCCTGGGGCTGGGGTTGTGGCTCAGGTTCGATCCTCAGCACCACATAAAAAATTTATAAAACAAAGATATATATATAAATATAAAAAGAAGCTCTTCCTACTCAAAAAATAAATTTTCTCTAATAAATAATAATTTTTAATTGTGGTAATCTCTCCCAAAAATCTCTGCACTATGAACTCATAACCTTGGAGAACTATTTCAGAGACTTAAGTTATTTTAATTTAAACCCATTGTCAATATTATAATTGTATTTATGGTAAGTTCTAGAGGTGCAAGGACTTTTTTGTTCTGTGTAGTAAAAATCTCAAGAATAGTATTTGGCACATAGTAGACGTCAACAAACATTTATTGTATGAACGTTATGTATGATTCCATAGGTAATATATTTCTATTAGCTCATTAAAAACATTTATTTCTAATCTCAAAATTGTTTCCTGCAAATGCAAATGACTAACAACATTAAAAGCTGCTTAAACATTTCCTGTTTTATTCCTTGCCAAACTATAGTTAGAATATTGTTTGTTTCGGAATTTTTTTTAACTACTTATCAATTAATGGTTTTATCAGCAAAGTACTATACAGAATTAAACAGTGTTAATGTATAACTATGCCAATTACACCCAACTAGTTAAATCACATGCATGGCAAAAATATATATAGCGAAACAGAAATACTGTGCCTACCGTATAATGCTAATATGGGAACTATACCAAACATATCACCCCCAAAACAACTAGGTTGACTTTTCTGCAGAAAACAAAAGGTAAGGGCTGAAAAAAAGAAAGACCAAAAAAAAAAGAATAAAAACTTATTCTAAGGGAATTTCTTCTTATATAGACCATTATTTTCAGTTGTTTTCCCTAAAATTACTATTATTAAAAGTATGCTTTTTCACGATACATAACCCTTTTTTTTCTTGGTTGGTACTGCAGATTGAACCCGGGGTGCCCATCCCCACACCAGCTATATCCCTCAGCCCTTTTTATTTTTCCTTTTGAGACAAGTCTCTATAAGTTGCCCATGTTGGCCTTAACCTTGCAATCTTCCTGCTTCTCAGCCTCCTGAGTCACTGGGATTATAAGCATATACCACCACCACATCTGACTTCTATTTAATCTTTTGAGGTACTCTTAAGAGTTCTTAAAATTTTTCCCTACAACCCAGAACTCAGAAATCTATAAATAACCACTAGGAATGTCAATTTTACTAAGTGGAAGTATATCACAAGAAGGGTGGGGCTGGGGATGTGGCTCGCCTGGCATGCGCGCGGCACTGGGTTCGATCCTCAGCACCACATACAAATAAAGATGTTGTGTCCGCCAAAACTAAAAAATAAATATTAAAAAGTTCTCTCTTTCTCTCTTTTAAAAAAAATAAGGGTGGTTGAGCAAAATTTGTGACGGTATGAGAGAAAATGGATCATACTATACTGAAATAAATCCTCCTAATCCCTGATAAACACACTATCTTTCAGGTGTGGTTTCTTCCTTTTTTCCCCCCCTTCTTCTTAAATACATATATATCCATGTAATCTGGTAAAAATTAAGTCTTTTTCCCACACTAAATCCCACTCAACCATTTTCATCTCCAAAGGCAACCTGTATCTTTGCTGAAAATTACATGTATTTATTTTTTTAAAGTATATGTCTTTTACATAAATGGAAACTGCATATATTTTTTTTCTAGTTCATGCATTGTTTTGCACCTTGCTTTTGCTCCCACTGGTAACATATTTTGACATTTCTTCCTTATCAGCTTATAAACCACTACTTCATTCTTTTTAATAACTGCATATTGATGAACTTTGAGCTTATTTCTAACCTTTTGCTAATAGCATAATATGCTTTCTTTCTTGAACGTAAGCTACTCGAGAATAAGAATTTATGTCTCTTTTTTACAGTACTGGGGATAAAACCCACCCAGGGCCTTGCACATGCTAGGCAAGAGCTCTACCATTGAGCTACATCTGCCTTTTCTGAAATAAGCTCTTGCTAAGTTTCTTAGGGCCTTGCTAAATTGCTGAGGCTTGAACTTGCCATCCTCCTCCCTCAGGCTCCTGAGTCCCTGGGATTACACCACACCAGGCTTAATTAATATAGTTTTGTTGTTGTTTGGTACTGGGGATTGAATCCAGAGGGACTTTACCATTTAGCTACATCTTCAGCCCTCTTTAGTTGTTTGTTTTTTTTTTTTTTTGGCGGTGGGGGGGAGGTGAGGGGAGGGTCCTGCTAAATTGCTTAGGGCCTCACTAAGTTCCTGGGGCTGGCCTCAAATTTGTGATCCTCCTGCCTCAGCCTCCTGAGTCACTGGGATTACAGGCACACACCACCATGCCCAGTTGAACATTTTCACTCAACAGCCTTTAACTCGACTATGTGCAAAGCACATGCGCTTTTTTTTTATTTTAATAAATACCTCTTCTGGGTATTTATCCTAGTATTTAAAATGACATACATAACACCTATAAGAGAAACTATTAAATCAAAATATGCATATTTTAAATGTTGGTAGAGATTATTCCAAAGCTTTTCACTAAATTTAGGTATTGATTAGTAACAAAGGTTTTTAGTGTTTTAATTAGTAATAAAGATTTTTAGTATTTAGCACCTTTACACAAAACAGTATAAAAACTGTTAAGGTAGATCAAGAAGTTCCATTCAAGTAAGAAAAAGTTGTAATAAGAATTGTGATACATTCTGTTGTCAAGTACTTAAAAAATAAAAGCAATTTTAAAAAAGTTGTTTTTATGATGGCATCAAATCTATACAGAAGGGTTGCTGGGTGTATAGGTCAGTTCTAGAATACATGCTTGGCATATATGAGACCCCAGGTTTGATCCCCAGCATCACCAAAAATAAAGGAAGAATGGTTAATTAATATATTTAGGAAAAGAAAATGACCTCACAGAAAAGATTCAGTTGAAAGTGCGTTATCCATTTTCAGCATCATCACTGTTACCAAGTGCCTACCATACGCCAAGCAACATTATTGAGTACTTTATCTCCTTTAATCCTATCCCCATGTATCCTATGAGGAAGACATCTTTATTATACTTAGCTAACAGATGAGCTGAAACACAGAGAGAGGTTAAATGTCTTGCCTAAGTCACACAGTTCATAATTGACTGAGCTGAGCTGGGATTAGAAATAAGCAGTCCAGGCTATAGTTCAATTGGTAGAGTGCTTGCCTAGCATGCACAGGTCTCTGGGCTCAACCCCCAGCACCACCGGGGGCGGGGGGGGGGGGGAAGCAAGTCTAACTCCATACCCATCATTTTTAAAAAATATTTTTAGTTGTAGATGGACATAATACCTTTATTTATTTTTATGTGGTGCTAAGGATCAAACCCAGTGCCTCACACATGCTAGGCAAATGCTCTACCACTGAGCTACAATCTCAACTCCATAGCCCTTTTTATGTGTGGAGGGTGGGGCTGGGGAAGGTACCAGGGATTGAATTCAGGGGCACTCAACCACTGAGCCACATTCCCCAGCCCTATTTGTATTTTATTTAGATACAGGGTCTCACTGAGTTGCTTCACACCTCACCGTTGTTGAGGGCTGGCTTTGAACTCGCAAGCCTCCTGCCTCAGCTTCTCAGACCGCTGGGATTACAGGCGTATGCCACCATGCCCGGCCTCCATAGCTCATTTTTTAAAACTATGTAAGTATTCATGAAGAATGGCATTGAAGGTAGAAGGAACATATAGCAAAACACCAGGTCATGGTATTTTTTAGAAAGCAGGAGGAAATTCAGTGTGGCTTAAGCATTTGGGGGGCCTAGTTGCCCAAAGGTGATGTGGTAGATGAGGTCAAAAATTTAGGCTGAAGGGCTGGAGTTGTAGCTCAGTGGTAAAGCACTTGGCTAATACATGTGAGGTACTGAGTTTGATCCTCAGCACCACATAATAAATACATAAATAAAATAAAGGTATCCATCTATAACTTTAAAAAGTATTTAAAAAAAAAAAAAAGAATTTATAAGTACTTAAAAAAAAGGCTAAGTACAGATTTGACTGACAGAGATGCCCCAGCATTGGCATTTCCAAACAGGATAATGGCAACTTCATTTCTTTTTCTGAGACTGTTCTGCCTCCAGTTTTGGTGTTGAATTCATGGTGAGGACTTCAAGGGGTTTTATTCTTTCAAAGCTATAGCATTCACTTTTGTCTTCTGAAGATACTGTTCTTGTGCTGACCAGATGAAAGCCTTCCTTTAGCAAAATGTCAATTAGTAAGCCGAGGACATTTGTTCCATTGGCCAATTTTCGGTTATCAGGTTTTATAGAAACATACCTGGAACACACAAAAACATTTTAATTATAAAGCATTTGTTTGACTAGCAGAGCCAAACACATACATTTACTTATAACCTCAAAAGAAGACATACAACATACTACTTTCAACCAAATTTATTTTTTGAGACTATTTACAAATCCAAATCAGTAACTTTGGATAACAATTAAATTGGCTCATTTTTTTATATAGGACAACGTAAATACTACCAATTTTTCAATTTGCTACATTACTCAAATCAATTTGTTTTGATGAACACTTTATACTTTTATAATTTCCTCCAGATAAAATTTTGTCAATTATTAGCACTGACATGAATTTTCTTTGATGACTTATTCCTGTCACATCCATTTTTTCAGGTGAAATGTTGCAGATATTTCAAGATGATTTTATTGTCAGTTTTTACTCAATAATTGTCCATTGTTGAGTAAATCTTGTGGTCAAAAATCTCTGGAGCAGAAATAGCAAAAAATTTTATTCCCTGGGCAACTCCACAGAACCAATGCACATAATAAAAATATGCCCAACCTTTTCAGACTAGCTGCATGTTGGCTTTAGTAATGTCAATATAACATACCTGCATAGATGTGGTTATATTACTCCTTCTTTCCTTTTTTTTTTTGTACCAGAGATTGAACCCAGGGATGCTTAACTGCTGAGCCACATCCCCAGCCCTTTTCAGTAAGTTGCTTAGGACCTCACCAAGTTGCTTTGAATTTGCAATCCTCCAGCCTCAGCCTCCCAACTCACTGGGATTACAGGCATGTGCCACCATGCCCAGCTTCCTTTCTTCCCTTCTATTAAGAGTGTTTATTTGTATCCTCCTACCATTTGTTTATGATGTGTGAAAAAGACTAATAACTTAGATTAGTTTCAGGCAGAAACTGTCTAGTTTTATGGAGTAGAAAGATGTTTGTAGTCATCCCTAACCTCTTTTTAAATGATTATGACTGAAATAGAGTGGTTATTGTAGCTCACATTTAGAAACTCACTCTAGGGAAAAAAAAAAAAAGTTCAATAATAAAATCTAAGAATTATCAAACTGTCAAACTACAACAACGCCCATCTCAAAAAACTGGTTAAAATGTTTGATACGACTTTTTAACATTAGTAAATCATTTAGTCTACCCTCAAGCCCCAGGTAGCCTAGAAATGGTTGTCAGAGAAAATTACAGAATGTCATAAAAGAATTCATATACAAATAGTAAACAGTAGGTGGTAACAAAGTATAATAGATTTGCAAGAAATCACTGAGCTAAAGTACTTGATTCTTATGAAGCCAAACTGAAAAAGAAAAGATTTCAAGGCACAAGAAAAGGGTACAACAAAAGAAACCAATGGGAAATTAAACTTATTTATTTATTTTAATTTACTTTATAGTGCTGGAGATGGAACCCAGGGCCCAGTGCAGGCAAGCATTCTACCACTGAGCTTTACCACTAGCCATTATTTAAAATGTTTTTTAAAGACACCACAAAGATCGGTGACGAGGGATGTAGGTCACTGGTAAAGCGCTTACCTAGTATATACAAGGTCCTGGGTTCAATTTCCAGCACCACAAAAACAACATAAAAAATATTAAAGGCAGCTACACTTTTCTATTTGAACCTGTTTAAAAAGAGAGGTCAGGGGACTACAGTTGCAGCTCAGTGGTAAAAAAGAGGTCAGATAGAATAAAGGTTAGAATCTTGTGACCATAGCTTGGGCTTGATAATGTGCTGTCACGTGAATGATGATCTGAAAGAATCAAGGCAAATATTTCTCTTTTTTTGGAGGTGCTGGGATTGAACCCAAGGCCTTACAGATGCTAGGCAAGTATTATACCATTGAGCTACATCCTCAGCCCAAGCCAAGTATTTCTAGTACTATGAACTTTTTAAAGATAATAACTGAGCAACTTGCTAAATTAAATAAGACAAAGTGGTAAATCATTCTGAATAAGGAGACTATAAGGAGACATTCAATCTTACTCCACCACATTCCATCTTCCAAAAACATATGAACAGACAGATTCAGACCAGGGAGTGGGCAAAAATAAAAATGATTGCTAATTTGGCAGTTATATACTCAATGGTGGGCCTTTTTTTAAAATATTTTTTTAGTTGTTGCTGTACCTTTATTTTTTATTTATGTATATGTGGTGCTGAGGATCGAACACAGTGCCTCACACATGCTAGGCAAATGCTCTACTGCTGAGCCACAACCCCAGCTCCTCAATGGTGGGCCTTTTTTTAAAAAAATATTTTTTAGTTATAGATGTATACAATATCTTTATTTCGTTTATTCATTTTTATGTGGTGCTGAGGATCAAACCCAGTGCCTCACATGTGCGAGGCAAGTGTTCTGCCACTGAGCTACAGCCCCAGCCCCAATGGTGAGCCTTTTAAGGCCAGAGTTTTTGCCTATCACTACAGATTCTCATGTTATTCTATTCAAATTATTAATCTCTATTTTTAAACTAGCACTATAACATATTATTTAAAAACAAAACAAACAAAACACTCCACAAACATAAGGGGGAAAAATTCTGAACTTAAAAACAACTGAAATATAGCTCAGTGATAGAGCACTTGCCTAGTATGCCTGAGGCCCTGGGCTTGAACCCAGCACTGCAAAACAGAAAACAAAATAAACCATATAGTGACAGGAAAACATGTTAACTTCTAAAACTAGAAGCTAATTTTTAAATTATCTATTGTGGAAGTGTAAATATAATACCTTTCTCACATGAAGGTAAAATAATTCTGCACTGTTTTTAAAATGCACTTAACAAAACAGGAGCCATTAGATACTGTGTACACACAATAGTCCCATTTCAGTTTCTAATCTCATTTTTCAAGATTACAATCACTTCCTCTACATGCATAGTTTAAAGAGCATTTAATATTTCCAAGACATATTCTTTTTACGGTCTATTTCTATTTTACCTGGTCTATTTCTTCTTAAAAATCAGTTTCCCCATGTACCTTTTAGAAAAGGGATCACAGGGTCATAAGTACTTAATCGAAATTTGTAAACCAAAAGATTGATCTTGTTTACTTAAGTATCCCATCAATGAAACGAAAGTATATAGAATTAAAACAGTTTGAAATAAAACTAGGGCCTTAGATTTTCTTCATAGTTTATTTATTTGAGTAGCTCCCATTTCCCAGACACTTCAGCCTCTTTTGAAGGGCAAGAAAGTATGAATTGTAAAAACTTCTGTATTACCATACTTGGTTATACTATCCAGTGTTCTCCATTTGGTAAGCAAGAACAAGGAGTATGTTGTAGGAAAGGTAGACACTTACATTCTTCTTGATGACTACTGCTCAAGTTAAAGTATCCTAAAATATGTCTTATTTACCTTTACCCAACAAAGTGTATTTTATTTTAAGTGCTATGAAAAAAGAACACATACAGGCTTTCTAATTTTCCTCCTAAAAATTAAAACCAACTTTCAGTTGGTAAAATAATAGTGACACAGCATTAAGACATTCTTAACAGGAGTGAGAGCTGCTATATCCCTGACTCCAGGGTGGAAATCAGCCATTAAGTCCAGCCCAAAACAGGGAAAAGTGAATAACTGACTCAAGAGAAGCTGTCCATGACAAACTGACAGCCTATCCCAACTTTCTGAGATATATAAGAGACACGAATATACCAGGACACCAAATTTGCCATGATACATATCTTCCTTTAAGGGCATTTAAAAATAAAAGCCTTTTTTTCTTCATTGAAGAAAAATCAATAGTTGAATTTAAGCACTGAAAGAATAGATACAGAGTATATAAGGAAGTCAAGAGAAACTACTGAGCCTTTCTGTGAATCACTAAAAGAATCTCTTGAAAAAATAAGATGATTCATTTCTTTTCTTTTTGGGGTACTGGGGACTGAACTCAGGGGCACTCGACTACTGAGTCACATCCCCATCCCTATTTTGTACTTTTATTTAGAGACAGAGTCTGAGTTGCTTAGTGCCTCACCACTGCTGAGGCTGGCTTTGAATTCACAATCCTCCTGCCTCAGCCTCCTGAGCCACTGGGATTAAAGCGTGCGCCACCACACCTGGCAAAATCATTCATTTCTAAGCCAAATTTTAATTTTTTCATTTTAATTATTTTGTGGTGCTGGGGATTGAACACATGGCATTGTGCACAAGAGGCAAACATTCTACCAACTGAGCTATATCCTCAGCCCCCCAGGCATTTTTTTATTTTTTATTTTTAGACAGTGTCTTACTAAATTGCCAAGGCTGGCCTCAAGCATTCAATTCTCCTTCCTCAGCCTCCCAAGTCACTGGGATTTGGCACCAAACTTTTTAGCAATGGAACATAATCTATAATTTCCTCCAATTTGAATGACCACAGTCCCATTTTCTCTAGGCAGTCTTGTCTTGTTCCTAGTGTCCTGCATAATACCTTTTACTCTGAAGTGTCCAGGTTTAGAAAATATTTGGTCATTCTACCCAACTCCCTTGGTTACCCCAAAAATCTTTTTTTCTAAGAAAAGTTTTAGGCATGAGGAACTTTGAATTTTGAGGGAAAATATCAGAAACCAGAATAGAAGAGAGATACTTCAAAATACGAACCTGACTCCAATTTGATTATCAGTAGTGCTGTCAGAGCCACAGTAGAAAACCAGGTCGTGGTAAGAAGGTCTTTGTGGAGGCAGTGGAAGTAAGGTCATCTGAGGAGGGAAAGAGTTACTACTCCAAGTGGATGCTGCTGGCTGCTCTATAAACACTGTAATTCTCCCAGTTAGCATCTCAATTGTTTTGCTGCAAGAGCCAAACACTCTGAAAAAGGCTTGCGTGTTTCGATTTAGGAAATGCACCTCGAGGAAAGCAGGTCTTGGCTCTAGAATGTGTTGGTTTAAGAGATCAACCAGAGAATCAAGTTCATAGAAAAGAGCCTCTCTCTGAAGCCTAAGATAGTCTGAAAAGTCAGTGGGTAATAAAAGTTGGTGAGTTCTCAAAAAATCTAAGATGAAACTAAATAAAACACCATCTCTGTCCACAAAAATCTGGCTACCAACCATCTTGAATTCTTGGTCTTTGCCATCTAACATTCGTGCCAACCGAGAAGCAGGAAACTGCTTTATAGTAGAAAGCCTTGTTGTGAATATCTTCCCTCCCACATTCAAAGTGACCAGTTCCTGACTACTCATTCTTCTCTAGTTTCAAACTGGAGGCTACAGGCCATCAGCACAGACTTAAAGGACTTGTAAACCAAACTATTACCCTAAATGTTGTTATATATGATTAAGAAACAAAAGAGGTAGGAAGAATAACAAAACACAGAAACCTAGATCCCTGGGTAACTGTTGTAAAACAAATATTGTATCCATAGTTGTGTGTTTGCAAATTTAAGTTGCTTGGGAACTTTGCAGTACACAAAAGGGAAAACTAACTCATGAAACTGAATAGTTTAAGGAAAACTGACACTATATCTGAGAATTGATGTCAATTAGATCCCTTTCCTATGTTTGATTTTTAAAACTTCTTGGGATATTGGCCAAATTATATTGTTTATATTGTGTGCATGTACTAATCTGTAACCAATAAAAAATATGGAGGGAAAAAAGACAAACTCTTAAAAAAAAAACATTCTCAGGGGCTGGGGATGTAGCTCAGTGGTAGAGCACTTGCTTAGCATGAGCAAGGTCCTGGGTTCCATCCCTAGCACTTTAAAAAAAAAAAAAAAAAAAAAACTCCATGAAATCCTGGTGTAAAACATATATTTAGGACTGGGTTGTGGCTCAGTGACAGAGTGCTTGCCTAGCACATGTGAGGCATTAGGTTCAATTCTCAGCACCGCATATAAATAAATGAATAAAATAAAGGCCCAACAACAACTAAAAATATATATTAAAATAATTTTCAAAAAACCATATATTTGCTTAAAAATAAATGAAAACTTACTGGGAGCCAAAAAGCTCTCTCCCTCCTCAGGCCCCTTATTTACTATGAAGCCTTTACAGCAGAGGTTAAGATTCTCATAGAAACATAATCTGAATTTCTTACAATCCCCTTAGCAATTTAGTGGCTACATCAAATTAGGTGATATATTTGCTATTAGGAATGAAATAGCAAATACATCACCCAGCAGATTATTTTTGACTTTTCTCATAGCTAGTAGGAAATTATTTCTTCCATACTTTACATTTTATTGTCACCCTTTTTACATTTTATTTACAGACAGGGTCTCACCAAGTTGTGAGGCTGGCTTTCAACTTGTGATATTCCTGCCTCAGCTTTTGGGAGCTGCTAGGATTACAGGTGTGCACCCCTGATATCTGCTTTAATTTATCTCTTTTGACTGGAGTAGATACTCTGTTCTCTAAATTGTTCCACATAATGGGCTTTCAAAGGAATGCCTTTTTCCATAACAGAAATAAGGCAGTTCTGAGCTAAGGTTATCTCTTTGTTTTCATCTGAATTCTAAGCAAGGTGAGAAAATTTAGTACTTTAGTACTTTTGTTCTGTCCTCTTTATCTCATGTGAGCAGGTAGTATATTATTAATATTCTGATTACTCTGTACTTTTTACAAATGGACAGATTGTTTCATCTGCTGTCAAGTTTTACTACAACTAAAATTCTGTAAGCAAATGGAATTCATTTGGTTGTATACCTGCCATACTTTAGAACCCACAACCACATTCAGCTGCCAGTAAAAAAGTGACTTTCCTATTTCCTGCTCCTGCCAAGTGTTGGATTGCTTTTTCTTTTTTAATCTATGCCTTTGCACAGCCACCTAACAATTCTATAGTTTATCATCTTTAGTTGAAAATTTTATAGAAAAGGTGAAAGGGGTAGGTTTAAATCTCAACCCTCCTAAAAATGTAAACATCACAAGAAAACACCAGTTTTTTTGTTTACATTAGATTTACATTTTCATGAGAAAGGAATCAACCTTCCAGAAAGCCTTAGGAGACCCAATCTATTCATCTTTTCTTCTTTAAAATTCCAACCTATTCACAAAAAGGTTGCTTAAGGCCAGGCACAATGGTGCAAAACTTGGGAGGCCAATGCAAGCCAGTCTTGGCAACTTAGCAAGACCCTATCTCAGAATTAAAAAAAGAGCTGTGGGTTTAGCTCAATGGTAGATTACCCCTAGGTTTAATACCCAATACCACCAAAAAATTGTCTTTACAAGACCAATCTTCACCAGAAATGTTTTTGAAGGAGAGGGGAGAGGTACCAGGGACTGAAGCCAGGTGTACTTAACCACTGAACCACATCCCCAGTCCTTTATTTTGAGACACGGTCTAAGTTGCTCAGGGCCTCGATAAATTGATGAAGCTAGCTTTGAATTTGCAATCCTCTTGCCTCAGCCTCCTGAGTCACTGGGATTATGGGCATATGCCACCAAGCCCGGCTTTACCAAATTCTATACCACATCAATACAGAATTAGATCATGTGTTCTCTCACCTCCCACTTTTTGTTTGGTGTTGGGTTTTTTTGGATTTGTTGGTGGTAGTGGATTTTTGAGACCAGATCTATGTTGCACAGGTTGGTCTTAAACCTCTGGTTCAAACAATCTTCCTAACTTAGCATCCTAAGAGGCTGGGACTACAGACATGCTCTTATTTGTATGACAGCATAAAGAAAGCCAATATTAGGATATTTGTTTTAATAGCACTCATTAAAAAAAGAAAGGTTCAGAACTGAATGACTAAATTTCCCCTTTAATTTTATGCTACTTAATCTGAATATGTATCAGATGGTTTTTTGGGGTTTTTTTTTTTTTTTTTTGGTAGAACTTTATTTTTATTTATTTATAGGTGATGCTGAGAATTGAACCCAGTGACTCATACATACTAGGCAAGCACTCTTCCACTGAGCTTCAACCCCGCCCCAACAACTTTATACTTTTGAATCTTGGGGATACTCCAACCCCAGGACAATATTTTTTAAAGGAATACTTCTGCGTGTGTTGCTAGAGATTAGAACCCAGGGCTTTGTGCATGCAAGGCAAGCACTCTACCAGCTAAGCTATATCCCCAGCCCTAAAGGAATACTTTTGGAGGAAAATATCTGATTGGAATCTTGACAAAATCTGAATTACTAACCTATTCTCTTAATAATTTCTATCAAAAAACAGAACTGCAGAGTTGGAAGATTTTATAATAGTTTATATTTGCACACAAATTCGGCCACATTATTTAGCACCATCAAAGTAAAATTGTTGACTGTTTCACTGAAAATGAAAAACACATTTGTCACTTGTTCCCAGTAAAAAACTGATTGTTCTACAAAATCAGCTGATTTAGTCAGATAAAAACTGAAATTCGAAAGATGGTCTTTCCAAATTGCCAGTTCATCAAATACAGACCATTCTAGGAATACAGTAGGACCAAAGAAAATAAGGAAAATAAAGAGGCCAAGTAGAAGGAATACCACAAATAACTGATAGAATCTCCAAGGAATCTTGCTTATGAATGTGCCAGTATCTTGAGGCAAAGAAAGTTTATCCACATCTACTAGTTTTATGTCCTCCCATTGACTGGTATCAAAGTTCTTCATTAAAGGGCTTGTGGGCAAAGTAGAGGGAGGTAAAGGAGTTTCCTTGATTACTTTGATTTTCTCCCTGAATTCCTGCATCTGTTGCAGAAATACAATGGGTTCTGACACATCTTTGAAAGCCTCAGCAATATTAAAAGCCATTCGTTGCTCCTGCAAGATGGTATTGAGTTTGTTGATCTCTGGGTCATAAGCTTGCATTACTGCAAGTTTCATGGTCTCAAAGTCAGACAGGATTTCATTCTTCTTTTGATCCAATGTGTGTTGTAACTTCTCAAAAAATTCCTTCACTTTATCTGAATCTTTAGTCAGTAACTGCAGGGATTTCCTCTTACTGGTTTCCAAGGTATCCAAACGAGAAAGAGCATCTCCCCGACGCCAGGTCTCAAAACTCTGGAAGAGAGTCTCAAAGGCATCCCTTTCCTGAGCATAGGCATCTTCAATAGAACAGAAGACATGCTTGGTGTGGTCACCTCGAGTAGCACAGATCCCACAAATTAGCTGCATATCAGTTAGGCAGAAAATGTTTAGAGGCTGCCCCAAGTGTCCTTTGCACACTGGCATTTTGGGAGAGATCTTGATTTTGTTGTATTTCTCCACAATACCTTTCAGGGAGTAATTAACCTGCAGGCTATTAACTCCAGTAGCTGAGGTTTCCTTCCGGCATGTAGGGCACTTGAATGGAGATGGTCTCCACAACGAATTCCGCACATTCCCCTCTAAGAGACCTTCTAAGCATTTTTTGCAGAAGTTGTGTGAACAAGGCAAAACTCGAGGATCATCAAACAGACTGCAACAAATTGGACACGTGAGATCTTCTTCAAGCAGCTCCATCACATCCTACCACAGAGAAAGAAACATTTTTATATTACTCCAGTAATCCCCTCCACTAGAACTATGTAATAATGAGAAGCTATCTTCACATTAAAATGTTTTGCTGAAATAACCAGCCAAACAGAGGAAATAAGTGAGAAATTTGGGAAGGGAATGCATACCAAAGCAGATTTTATCCGTTGAGACGACAACATGTTCCTTATTAATAGGGCACCCTGCACACAAGGCCTTTGTGTGATAGTCTTTGGCTAAGACAGGGTTAGGACTAGGACAACTGCAAGTTGAGCCAGCAGGACCCAAGTGATTGTTTTAAAACAGAGAGCTGACTACTAGCTGTCAGAAACAAAGCTACTCAGTGTCTGTAACAGAATGAGCTCTTTGGGCCCACAAATATAAAATGGTATGCTATTTAAAAGAGAGAAGCCCAGAAATATAAATCCAAGCCATGTACACTAATGGACTTTTTTAAAATTAGGAACTAGCATATTTCAAGGCAAAATTATAAAACAGTTGCAATTTATTCTTCCTTGGAGAATCAATCAGGTTGGTTTTTTTTTTAATCTTTTTTTTTTTTTCATTTTTATGTGGTCCTGAGGATCGAACCCAGTGCCTCATGCATGCTAAGCAAGTGCTCTACCACTGAGCCACAACCCCAGCCCCAATCAGGTTGTTTTTTAAACAACCAAAATGACAAGTCAAAACCACCTTATAGATCATCTACAGCATCTTAAACAGTTCTCAAAATGTGGGCAGAAACATGGCTCTTTCAAGGAATCCATGAGATCAAATTATTTTCACAATTTTGCACCATGTTGACATTGTCACTTGCAATGTAAAAGCAATAGTGGGTACATAGCTAGAGCCTTAACAGGACTCAAGTAAGACAGTAAAGAAGCAACAAATTGTATTTAGTCATTGTATTCTTTACCACAGTCTGAGTGGATTGAGTGTTGGAGAGCCAGTTTCATTTTTAAATGTTCTTGATGAAGCAGCAAAAATTATACATTTTGTTAAATCTTGATCCTTGGTACACATCTTTAATATTTTGTGTGATAAAATAGGAAATGTACACAAAAGCTTTTCTGTATACCAGCAGATGTTGTCTGGAAGAAAAGCACTTATGTGACTGAGCTGCAAGATGAAGCAGCTGCTTTTTTAATGGAATATCAGTTTTACTTGAAAGAAACTGATAAACCATAGCTATTCAGATTTAGGTATCTGACACATTTTCTTGAAAATGAACAAAACAAGCTTGCTCAAGAAAAACACAAGAGCAGGGCATGGTGGTGCACACCTATAATCCCAGTGACTCAGGAGGCTGAGGCAGAGGACTCCAAATTTGAGGCCAAACTTGAAAACTTAGTAAGACCTTGTCTCAAAATTAGGAAAAAAAGGGGGGGTGGAAGGGATGGAGTTTCAGTGGTAGACTGCTCCTGAGTTCTATCCCCAATGCTTGGGGGGTGGGGGGTAGGGTGGGATGGCTTTTTTGCCAATGAAAAAGTTGGATTTTCATGTAAAAACTGGAATTTTGGAAAACATTTCTACTTGTAAGCTTGACAGCCTCCCATTAAAGATTTCTCTTATGAGATAGGTGGTGACATTGATGAATGGAAGGGCTATTTTTGTGGAGAGTGAATACTATATAATAAAATATGTCAATTTCCAAAGCACTGAGTTATATCCCCAGCCACAGGTTTAATTATTTTTAAAATGTACATTAATCCCTAAAGATTTAAAACCAAAAATAGTGCTAAATATTTCTTTACTCAGTTTACCTAGGGATACACACACATATAACCACCAAATTAATAATCTACAGATGAAGCTGGGGTTATGGCTCAGTGGTGAAGACTTGCTAGCATGTATGAGGCACTGGGTTCGATCCTCAGCACCTCATAAAAATAAATAAATAAAATAAAGGTACTGTATCCATCTACACCTGAAAAAAAAATGTTTTTTTAAAAAAATAATCATCTACAGGCTTTCTTACAATTTTCTTTTTTGGGGGGAGATTTGCTGGATCATAATGAGAGCTACATCTCAAAGATTAACATACTTAAAAGGATATTCGGTTATAAAATATGTACTTATAATAAATATATTTAGTATAGGTAAAATTAAAGCAAAAACTATTGTCTCAAATTTAGTATCATGGCCTGGTGCAGCCTCAGCAATTTAGTGAGGCCCTAAGAACTTAGTCTCAAAATAAAAAGAGCTGGTGATGTGGTTCAGTTGTTGAGCACCCCTGGGTTCAATCCCTGATACCAAAAAATGAAGGTGTCATATGGCAAAAAGTATGTAACCAGCTGATTTTTCTGAAAAATTTCTTGTGATATGAAAAATCATATAACCTTTGAAAAGCACTGAGAAGAGAATGGCTATAAAGATTGAAGTCAGTGTGTGCTCTCTAAGAGAGGTTACCAAGCAGCTATACAACATAACTTTTGATAATTCTCCAACCCTAAAAGGGCTCCACACTTTATCACCTCCAGAATTATGTTGTTTCACCCAAGAATTCTACCCAAGGTCAGATTTCTTTTTCTTTTTTTCAAAGATTTTTTTTTTAAGATGGACACCATATCTTATTATTTTTTTAATTTGTTTTTATGTGGTGCTGAGGATCAAACCCAGGGCCTCACAAGACCTCTACTGCTGAGCTATAATCCCAGCCCCAAAGGTCAGATTTCTGAGAAAACAGCAGACAACAACAACAACAAAAAAGCAGTGGGAGGGCTGGGGATAGCTCAGTTGGTAGAGTATGTGCATGCACAAGACCCTGGGTTCAATCCCCACCACCACACACACACACCCACACACTCACACGCACACAAAAGCAGTGGGAGGGGAGTAGCAGCATGCAACAAAGGATATCCAAGGATGTCAATAAGTAAAAGGAAAACAAAAGATATCATAACCAAGTGGTTAGGATAAACAAGAGAAAATGGGCACCCTAGGCAAGAAAAACTTTGAAGAAAACAAATGATGTAATAAGGGTCAAGAATTTTAAGGCAATCAAATATGATCCAAAGTGAAAAATGTCACAGGTAAGAAATTTTAGAAAATTAAAAAAACAAAAAAGTGCTGGAGATATAGTTCAGTGGTTGAATTCCCAGTGCTTGAGTGCACATTTGTGCATACATACATGCATGTGCGCACAGTTTTGAAGGAAAATATGCAATAAAGGTTTTTAGTGCTCTTTAAAGTGAAATGCCTTCAAGTATGGCTAAAATCTGAAGAAATCAACAGCTTGCTAAGCACATATCCAATCTTTTTTCTTAGCTAAATTTCCCCAATATACAGAAATCAAGAAACTTTAAACAGAACAGTTAAAACTTCAACTTAACCAACATCAAAATTAAACAAGTTTGCCAAAATTCATTTCTTCCTTCAAGTATTTCTGAATACAAAAAATTCTAAATTTTGAAGCATGGAAATCTATTTTCCCACCAATTAAATATTTCCCAAGTGTTTTATACCAACAATTAAAATAGCTGTCTATACACTAGTTGTCTACCACCTCTCTGGAAAAATGTCACCCTTATTTGCCTGTCATACTATTTTTTGTTAATATTTATTTTTTAGTTCTAAGTGGACATAATATCTTTATTTTACACTTACGTGGTGCTGAGGATTGAACCCAGTGCCTCATGCATGCTAGGTCAGTACTCTACCACTGAGCCACAACACCAGCCCCTGTCATACTATACTATAACTGCATAACTATATACCATCACCAAATGTTTATTGTTTTAAATTTTTTATTTACTTACTTATTTTGGTGCCAGGGATTGATCCCAGGGTTGCTTATTTATTGAGCCACATTTCCGGCTCTTTTTATTTTTTATATTTTATATTTAGAGACAGGATCTCACTAAGTTGCTGAGGCTGGTTTGTGAACTTGCAATCCTCCTGCCTCAGCCTCCAGAGCTGCTGGGATTACAGGTGTACGCCACTGTGCCACAAAAAGTTTATGTTTAAGCAATGAAAAGTTAATACTTAAATAGAAAAATATTATTAGACTTTTCCCCCTTAGAATGATCAACCCAAAATTATTGTACTATAAAAGGTGCTCATTTTTCCCTTAAAAGACATTCTTTCCCTAAAACACGTTGGGGGGGGGGGGTTGAACCCTTTCCTATTAAGTTATTCAAAATGTCATTCATGCCAGGTTCAGTACCCCACGCCTATAATCCCAGGGACTCTGGAAGCTGAGACACGAGGATCACAAGTTCAAGACCAGTCTCAGCAATTAAACAAGGCCCTAAGCAACTCAGCAAGTCCCTGTCTCAAAATACAAAATAAAAAGGACTGGAATTGTAGCTCAGTGGTAATGCGCCCCTGGGTTCAATACCCAGTATCAAAAAAAAAAAAAATTATCCATGGTCTCTTTTTAGTTCCATTAAGGAACAAAAAGAAAAGCCAAGGCTGGGGCTATAGCTCAGTGGTAGAGCACCCGCCTTGCATGTGTGAGGCACTGGGTTCAATCCTCAGCACCACCTAAAAATGGATAAATAAAGATATTGTGTCCATCTACAACTAAAAAAATATTAAAAAAAAAAAAAAAAGAAAGAAAGAAACAAAGAAAAGCCAGCAAGCTTGTGTCTTAAGGGATTTTTAAAATTTACTTATTTTTGCAGTGTTGGGACCTGAACTCAGGGTCCTGAGCATATTAGGTATTTGTTTGTTGGTCTGTTGCTGGTCTCAAACTCTTAGGCTCAAGTGGTTCTCCTCCCTCCTCCTGAGTAGCTGGAATACAGGAGTGCTTCACATCAGCTGGTTTCTTTTCTCCCAAGTAAATGTAAATGGGTTTAAATGAAGGTGACAAATTCTTACCCCTAAAAAACTTGTCTTCTTGAGCTGGGCAAGGTGGCTCACACCTGTAAATCCCAGCAACTCAGGAGGATCACAAGTTCAAGGGCAGCCTCAGTAATTTAGCAAAGCCCTAAACAACTTAGTGAAACCCTGTTTCAAAATAAAAAATAAGAGCTGGGGATGTGGCTCATTGGTTAAGCACCCCATGGATTCAGTCGTTGGTACCAAAATAAAATATTTTAAAAAGTTGTCATCTTTTACAACCATTCACTTGGCAAATCTTGACCTATTAAGTTGTTATCCTCAACAGACTGGTATCTCTTGAAAATTTCCATCACCTATTTAAGATCAATTTCAGCTTTTAAGAAAATACTCCTGGGGCTGGGCAGTTGGTAGAGTGTTTGCCTTGTTTGTATTTATAAGGTCCTGGGTTCAATCCCAGCACCACAAAAAAAAAAAGGAAGAAAGAAAGTACTATTAGGACTGAGATTGTGGCTCAGTGTCCACCTACCAAAAAAAAAGTACTATCAAAGTCTAGCATTCAGTGGATAGATTAATCTAGATAAATGAGATTATTTATATAGCATCTAACATTTTAATATGTAAAAACATGCACTATGGAAATTTAATTGGCATGAACAAAGTTCCTTTTGGTCAGTGTAGATTCATATATACATCTTATTTTAAGTAAACCTGATCTACAAAATATATGAAGTAGAAAACTACATCTAATCATTTTTATGTTGGCTGTAATAAATAATGCTATGTTGGTACTGCCAAGCGTCTACTGAATTTTGGTAATTACTAGCAAAAATTTCCAATTCAACTTTTCTTTAGAAAAGTACCTACATCTATGGGCTAGGGATGTAGTCAAGTGATAGAACACTAGTCTAGCCTATGCAAAGCCCTGGGTGCAATCCCCAGTACTGCAAAACAAGATGAAAGCAAAATTTGAGTAACATTAATCTGATAAATAAAGTCAAAGTTCTAAGGGAAAAGAATTTTCCTTTAAAGCTTCTGATAGCTAGGTACAGTGGTACATATCTGTAATCCCAGCTACTGGGGACATAGGGTAGATGGGTTAGAGGATCATAATTCTGAGGCCAGCCTGGGCAATTTAGTGAGACCCTGTCTCAAAATAAAAACTAAAAAAGCATCCTTCAGTTCAATTCCCAGTACTGGAAAAAAAGGAAAGAAATGTATTTATAATAAAAATAAACTTTAAGGGGTTAGGGTTGTGTGGCTCAGTGGTAGAGCGCTTGCCTAGCATGTGTGAGGCACTGGGTTCAATTCTCAGGACCACATATAAATAAGTAAATAAAATAAAGATCCATTAACAATTTTACTTATATTCTGTTCAAGCTGCTCTAGTAAATAAATAAATTTTAAATATTTGCATTCACATTATGGGAATTTGCTCTAGAACAGTTTGAACAGAATATAAGTAATCTATATGTTAAAGTATACCTGTATTTGGGTGTATTTGGGTTACGATGTGGCTCAGCAGTAGAATGCCTGACTAACACAAGCAAGGAACACACACACACCTAATCTTGGTTAACTGTTTTAAGAGGGAGGCAAAGCCATTTAATACCTTGGGTCCCACAATGTAATGACAATGGTAGTGTCTTTCATGAATAACAAAAATGGATAATCTATGACATTTTAAAAGATAAAAATATAAGCCAAATATACACCAAAAGGCAATTCCTATCCTAAATTCAGAAATGTAGAGCATTTACAAAGATATTATTGTTCTAAAAGGTATGAAAATTGTCTTACAAAAAGGACATACAAAAGAGTTCTGCAACATTTTTAATGTGGTAAATGACAGACATCCCCGATTTACCACAATTCAGCTTTAAAATTGTATGACTTTACAATGAAACAAAAGAAACTGTTCTTAGAATATAATTCTGACCTTTCCTGGGTTAGTGATCTATCTCACTGCCATAGTCTCCTGTGATGATAGGCAGCAACAGTGAGCCATAGCTCTCAGTCACATGATCACAAGGGTAAACAACAAGATACTATATTCCATAAGGTAATGAATGTAATCAATAAATTATGAGTCATTCAATACTTTATTATGAAATAAATTTTGTAGATGACTTTGTCCAACTGTAGGCTAATGTAAGTGTTCTGAGCACACTTAAGGTAGACAGGGCTAAGCTTTGATGTTTGGTAGGTTGTATGTGTTAAATGCACTTTAAACTTAGATGGGTTTATCTTGAAATAACTTCATTAAATTCAGAAGCAATTGCACTGTACTATATGCTTAAGATTATTATGTGGGTAGCTCTCATGCTAAATCTTACCACAAAAAAAGACAACATAGAAATTGGTGAGATAATCCATGCTTTTGTGCTCTCCTGAATTATAAAAGTAATTTGTGCTTATTTTAGAAAATTCAGAAAACCTAGGAAAGGGGTTATTAGAGTTGTAGCTCAGTGGTAGAATGCTTGCCTAGCAAGTGTGAGGCACTACTATTATTTTGGTCTTTTTCTTCCACTCTCATGTATCTATGTGTATGTGCCTGTACTTTTCTTATTTATCAACATACACTTCCACTATCATTATATATTGTTCAAAAGCATGATAATCCATCTTTTAAATATGTTTTAATATTCCTTATTTGTTTTTTTTTTTTTTTTTTTTGTGTGTGTGTGTGTGTGTGTGGGGAGGGGTATTAAAATGATTAAAAGTCTTGGCCCACAGCTCTGATTATTTCCTTAGACAATTCCCTGAAAGATATTGCTGGGTCAAGGAGTAAGAACATTTCTAAAGCTCTTGAAAAGATTGCCAGGCTTCTTTTAGAAAGGGGATATACCACTCTATGAAATCTAACCTCTCCATGCTGTTCCTTACCTTACCACAAAACTATACCTTTATGAAGCTTAGTAAAAAACTAAGGCCAAGACATAAGCATATGTTACCATACCTACCTGAGTTTAAAATATAAAATATTTTTAAAAAATACTTATTTTAGTTTTAGGTGGACACAATATCTTCAGACAAACACTTAACTTTATAAGTTTAAAAAAAAAAAAAAAAAAAACTGAGCCTACCCTTGATCCCAAAATGGAGACCACCTCTCAATAAGCATAAAACCTAAATTTTCCAATTCTTAGACCTTAGCACTATTCAGAAAGTGAGTCATAAATTCAATATGCTAAGGGTTGAGGGTGTACCTCAAGGGTAAAGTATGTACTTAGCAGGCTGGGGTTGTGGCTAACTGCTAGAGTGCTTGCCTAGAAAGTGGGAGGCACTGGGATTCAATTCTTAGCACCACATAAAAATAAATAAAGATATTATGTGCAGGGCTGGGACTGTGGCTCAGCAGGAGCGCACTTGCCTGGCATGTGTGAGGCACTGGGCTTGATTCTTAGTACCACGTATAAATAAATAAAAAGATCAACAACTAAAAAAAATTTAGGAAAAGATATTGTGTCCATCTATAACTAAAACATATTTTTTAAAAAATGTACTTAGCATGATTCGAAGCTCTAGATTTAATTCCCTCAAAAAAAAGAAAGAAAGAAATTTCTTATGCCTATAATCCCAGCAACTCAGGAAGCTGAGAGAAGAGGACTGCAAGTTCAAGACCAAGCTCAGCTCAGCAAATTAGTGAGGCCCTAAGGACTTAGTGATACCCTGTCTCAAAATAAAACATAAAAAGGGCTCTGGATATGGCTCAGTGGTTAACTGATCTTGGGTTGAATCCCCAGTACAAAAAAAAAAGCCAGGCGCAGCATCATAAGAACATAACCCTAGCTAGCGACTAGTGAGGATGAGGCAGGAGGATCACAAATTTGAGACCCTGTCTCAAAATTAAAATATTTACCTGGCATGGTAGCACAGGCCTGTAATCCCAGTGGCTTGGAAGGCTGAGGCTGGAGGATCACAACTTCAAAGCCAGCCTCAGCAACTTTAGCAAGGTGTGAAGCAACTTGCAACTTATCTCGAGACCTTGTCTCAAGATTGAAAAATAAAGAGGGGCTAGGGAAGTTGTTCAGTGGTTAAGCACCTCTGGGTTCAATCCCTGGTACAAAACAAAATTAAAACATTTAAAAAGGATTAGGGATGTATGTAGTTCAGTGATAAGGCACCCCTGAGTTCAATTCCCAGTACCACAAATTTTGAAAAATTTAGTATTCTCATTCATAAAATGAAGCTCTTCTAAATGATTTTTACAAATTAGGCTTTAAAAAGCCTTCCAATGAAGCAGCACAAAATCTGCTTCTGAATACCCAGGTTTTTATGGTACCTTCTTCACACTATTACTGGAAAAATTAAAGCATTAGAATTTTGTAAACTGCTAAACTATGTAAATGTATAGTATTTACTTACATGTATGTATAAATACAATGAAGTCTGTAAATGCACATGTATAAGAAAAGGTCCTAAAAGAGAGTTGGACTCTCTTGAAAAGTGATTTCAAGGGATGTCAAAGTAAATATTACATAGGAATTCCAGGTACAAAATGGACATATCTGGGGAAAAAGTTGTAGCAAGGAGGAACAGCTAACCTATCATAAAGAATGAAAAGAACAGCTTGACAGTTCTGGTAGAGTGCTTGCCAAGCATGTTCCAGTATCTTTTGGTTGTAAAAGAAAGAAGTATAACCACCTAATCAACAGCTCCATCCATTTCTACTAGAGGAAGTGCCAATGTAAATAAAACTGTACTTTTAAAACACATATTAAAAAGTCTAGTTCTAAAGTCATAGAAAAACTCAAGTCCCATTGTACAAGTCCAGCAGCCTGACAATTGACCAAACATGAAAAGGTTGCTTTAAAGAATGCAACTGAAGCCTCTCTCTTCGTTTGCAATATAAATATTTAAATATAATACATTTTAAATGATCTTCACAAAGAACTGCCAAGCATGGATTCTATTTTTTTCTGAGTTAACGAAATATGAAACAAAGACCATTAATGAAAGAAGTGGGTGTGAACATATATATTCTACACAGATTTCAATTTCTAAAGGTTTTGGGTCTAATAAATTTGAGTGTTTTTTCTTAAAATGTGAGCATAACATAGGGAAAAGTATTGTTATTACCTCTGTCCCTGCAAGCAGGTGTTTACCGTAGAGTTACTATTACCCAGGGCAAAGCAATCAGGATTTTGTTTTTCCACGTTTCAACTGACAATAAAAAACTAGAGGCTGCTGCGGAAGAAGGAGAGAGAGGAGGGTATTAATGCTTTTATTTGTAAAGGATCTCCATTCTTAACCCTCAATTTTCAATCGCCCGCACAAAGCCAGCCTACAAAGACCTCCAGGCCCGGGAGCTAGGAGCTCTTTGTACTAGGAAGCAACGTGGTCAGGGCGCCCTCCCCCGGCGCCATGCGGATCCCCAGAGTCAATGCCTGGTCTAGTGGCGTGCTCTAACCTCTGGTTCACACTCGCCTGTTCTTTTTTAGGTAGTGTGAAGGCGCTGCGGGGAGTGCTCGGGCCCCAACAGATTTTCTGGATCACAAACACCGGGCTAGCCGGCCAGCGCCCACCCTCACGCGGCTCCTCCCCACGATATCGCTGCCTAGCTGGTTTCCGCTGAGCTACCCCAACTGAAGCTCAAATTGCCCCCACCCACGCAGGCCCCAGTTAGCCTGGGCAAGTCCCCACCCCCGCTGCAAGCTCGAGGGTGGCCCCTTCCTCCCCGAAGAGGAGCAGGGCGGTGGGTACTTATCTCTGACCTCCGGCAAGGCCTGCAGCTGCAAGGCCTCGAGTCTTCCAGCTCGGAAGATCGCGCGGTAAGCGCCCGACACCGCCGCAAAATGGACTCGCGGCGCTGCACGGGCCCCGCCCTCCTCCGCTGGCACCTCGGACTCCACCCCCGGCGTGTACCTTTGTCCCGCCTCCCGGGTCGGGCCTTCCCTGGGGAGGTGAGGCGGGAGTCCTTCCGGTGTCTCCAACGGCCGCCGCCCTCCTAAAAGGGGGCGGGTCCTCGCTGCTCACCCTTCTCCTTTCCAGGAGCTGCGCGCGCATAACTGGGAACGCTGGCGACGGAACGCTGTGCTTTCCCCCACGAAACCACCCGGGAAGGAAGTCTACCAGTTAAGCCGACGAGCAATGAGATGGTTGGGTTTGGATTGTTGTACTTTTTTTTTTGTTCGTTGCATTTTTAGGAACAAAAAAAAAAGCCCAACCCTTCACACCACTTCATCTGCATCTCTCAGGACCAGAAGTGAGGCCACCGCGACTAGGAGAACGAAGATCGCTTGTCTGCCCCGCGCCCCATCCGAGGGTAGGGTGGGACGGGCACGTCGGCGCTGCGCCGAGCTGCCCACCTGCTGTAGCGGGGTCTGCGGCCTAAGCACCACCAAAAGACTGGTTAACTGTCGTCCCTCCTCTCCGTCGTTGCACCTATTTCCTTGCAATTTTTACGCAAGACACCAGTTCTACTTAAATTTTTATGCGACCCAGTTAAATTCTCTTGCAGGAAAAAAAATATATGTGTATATATATATATATATATATATATATATATATATATATTTATATGTATATATATAAAATATATATATATATAATATATATATGTATATATATTAAAAAAAAGAAAAAAGCAGTAGTGATATATATAAATTACCCGGTGTTAACAGTTGTTCAATTCCTAATCTGACTCTTCTGGTGTCTGCCCCCTGTGTGGGGATTTTGTTTAGCACCAGATGTATAAGCACTTGCTGGTGACCAGTCTGAAAAGGGTACAAAGATGATGATGAAAATGGTTCACCTCCAAAGCTTTAAAATTTTGAGGGAAGTGAGGCAAGTACAGAACCACAGATGAAGCTCTGGAATTACATTCAGTCCAAATTGGGGAAAGTCTGGGCTTTGAAGGGAAGTAGTAGGTTATTAAAAAAAAAAAAAGAGAGAGTATTCACTATTTATCATACATAGTACTTGATTAATAATAATAATTTAGCCTAAACGCATAAAGTCCCTTGCCATTTACCCTGTGCATCTTACTGACTGCAGCAATGTAACACTTTATAGAACAATTCCTGTAATTTGTCTTCTAGTCTGTATAAAAACACTGAAATGGGAATTAATGATCCTTAGCCTATAAATGAGGAAGCAGGTGAAGTGAATTCTCCATGGTTTGAAAAAACGAGAGGCAGAGTGGAGGCTAAAATCAGATTCCAGGTACAGATTCTTTCTACAGCAGCACAACTGTCAGTGCCAATGAAAACCATACCCCAGCTCCCCTAAATTAGTGTTACTAAAAACTGGCTTATGAAAACATTTCAAACACCTTAATATTAAAATGATACAGGAGTGAAAACTAAGTCATTAACTCATAAGCCACAACTGTCCTTAATATAATTTATATAATACATATTTATGTAATTGTATCTGGTTGGTGGTAAATACTAATTAGTAAACTTCTGCCCAACTAAATGTAAAACGCTTGTTAAATCTACATAGCAACCCCTAGACTGTTAAAAATTAACGACTAAGTAAAGAGCATAGCATGTTAAACTCTCAAGTTTAGAAAAATGAAGAATAGCTGCTGCCTCTTTCATCCCATGGTCCTAATATACACAAAACAACTATTGAACTACCCACATGTAGTGTGCCTAGAAAAGAGTGGCTGCCCTATTAAACCTGCATACACAGCTACATCCTTCCTGGAAGAGCACAATGTAACTAGATCCTGGTAGAGATAACACAGGGGTTGTCAAAATTCTTGTCACACTGGAATTTCCTTCTATTGACTCTTCTTTCAATAAGTAAACTAACAGCTGAGGCTTGAATTCACATATTGGCCCAACAGTAAAACTATACAGTCTTACATAAGTTTCTGGGGTTTGTGATAAAAATGTTTTTGAAGTGGTATAATTTCTATTTATGAAGATATATATATATCATTTAAATTTTTATAATACACACACATGTGCATGTGTGTGTGAGTGTGTGTGTGTGTGTGCACATTGGTGTGTTTCTTGTGTTGATTTATCTCATGGTGTGGCTTTTGTCCCAGTCCTTGACAAAGGTAAAAACTTCTTAGCTTTCCTCCCCATCTAATAATACAAATGTGATCAAGATATTCCATCACAAAAATGTATGCACACTAAAATGTAAATTGTGAGTGATGAACTACCAATAACTAGGTCTGGAGCAACTATATATAGGGGAGTGGTGCTGGTGAGCCTCTCCAAGTACATTGGAACATTTTTTTATTATTATTCTCCCCTATAACTGCCAAAGTTATGAATGCAAGCCCCCAAATTCCCCATTAGAATTCCTGCCCCCCAAAGACACTGACATTACAAGGTATAGTGCAATGTCTAAAGGATAGGCTTTAGAATGAGTTCTGTATCCAAATTCTGTGTTTGCCACTTATTAGTTGTTCAAGTTACTTGGTGTCTCTAAGCCTCAGTTGTCTCTGTAAAATGAGAAATATGTCACAAATTTGATTTTAGTAATAATTAGGTAACATAAAGCAACCAACATTTGTCTGACATACAATAAGTACTTAATAAATGGTTGCTACTATAATATGGTAGAAGAAAACCATGAATAATAATAATAATAATTATTATTATTATTATTATTATCATCATCATCATTACACTTGCCTTGAGTTTGTAAACCTGGGGCTCAAGCACAATAGTAATCGTAAGCAGAGCTAGACTACTGTCTCTTCAGTAGAGGAAGATAGCACCATAATTTCTGCTTTTCTCCATCTAGCACAGGGTGATTGCATGTTACGAGTGGGGGGGGTAAAACACATGGCGCTTATCACTGAGCTGAGCTGCATCCCAACCATTTTTATTCCTATTTCTTTTTTTTTTTTTTTTTTTTTTTTTTTTTTTTTTTGAGACAGGGTCTCACTAAGTTGCTGAAACTGAAATTGTCCTGGAACTTGGGATCCTACCTCAGCCTCCCCAAGTAGCTGCAAGTAGCTGGAATTACAAGGGTGTGCCACCACACCCTCTTCAGCATGGCCTTTTAAAAGCATATATCTTTCCACTTCTCAATCCCTTCTCCTATATCTGGGCAAAGGAGAGACAAAGGAAAATTCATATACAAGGAAGAAAGACTTTGCTGATTTTTAAAAAATATTATATTTTAAGAAAATTGAACATTCAAAAGTATTCCATTAAAACCTGGGAGGGGGATCTAACTGTAAAAAAGTAAAAATTCATCACAAAAGAGAAACTTACCCAAGAACTGATGAGATTAAAGGGAATAAGTCCTTGTTTGAAGAAAATTCCAGACTTCATATATTTCAGTTACAGTAAAGAGCATGCATTAAAGGGGTTGATAGCAAGATCAGTTAGCTTTGTAAGAAAATGAGAGACACTTAAGCAATAGTAAACTTGTCCTTTAGTTATTGCTGTTTCTGTAGATAGAAACTGTAAGAAAGTGATACATATGCTTATAATTTTATACTCAGTCAAATTTTAGGCACCAAAAGTACCAATCAAGGAATTTCCCCTTTGGTTTAAGAGCCAATATAAAGATAATATAGGGGGCTGGGGATGTAGCTCAGTTGATAGAGTGCTTGCTTCGCATGCATAAGGCCCTGGGTTCAATCAATCCCCAGCACCACCACCAAAAAATAAAAGTTAGTTGGGTCTCAGAGCCAGAATGAGTGATGAAGACAAGGTCAGGGAAGGTACCAGAAGCATCAGGGAAGGTGCACCAGGGAGGTAGAGTTGAATCAACTTTTAAAGATCATGGGATTTGGGGCTAGGGCTGAGCTTAATGTTAGCTCTTGCCTAGCACCAGTAAGGCACTGGGTTCCATCTTTAGCATCACATCAAAATAAACAAAATAAAGGCATGCTATCCATCTACAACTAAAAATTAAAAAAAATTTAAAAAGATTATGGAGCTAGGGATATAGCTCAGTTAGTAGAATGCTTGCCTCACATGTACAAGACCCTGGGCTCAATCCCCAGCAACACACACACAAAAAAAAAGAATCATTATAAAAAATTTTTCTAAAAAGATGGAATTTGAATAAGAGAAAAAAGGAAGAATATTTGAGGTGAGGAACACAGCACAAGCTCAAGGTGGAGATAGCCTTTGTCAAAGAAGAATGTGGCCTGCTTTAGAAATAAAGCTGGAAGCCAAACTGGTATGTTTTGAATGTCAGAATAAAGAGTTGAATTTCATTAAGTAAGAAGTGGAAAGCTACTGAATAATATGCGGGTGGCACTAGCAAAATGAAAGAATTTTAGCAAGATTTATCTGACCATAAGGTCCAAATTTTAAGGAAGAAAGAATTATCTTTAAAACTCTTGAGGGCTGGGGTTGTGGCTCAAGCTGTAGCGTGCTCGCCTGGCATGCGTGGGGCCCGGGTTGGATCCTCAGCACCACATACAAACAAAGATGTTGTGTCCGCCGAAAACTGAAAAAATAAATAAAAATTCTCTCTCTCCCTCCCCCTCCCTCCCTCCCTCCCTCCCTCTCTCTCTCTCTCTCAAAAAAAAAAAAAAAAAAAACTCTTGAGGTAGCCAGACATGGTGATGCATGCCTACACTACCAGTAACCCGGAGGCTCAATCTCAAGTTGGAGGCCAGCCTGGGCAACCTAATGAGAGACTGTCTCAAAATGAAAAATAAAAAGGTTTGGGGTTGTAGCTTGTTATTAGAGTACCTCTGGGTTCAGTCCCTAGTACCAAAGGGGTTAGGGAACTCCTGAAGTTTGTTATTAAAACTTATAGATTTTTAAAATGAAACAATGTATATAAAAGTACAGCTTTTATGTTGTAGTCCTATTGAACCACTTAATATCAAATATCTGTTCATTTCTCAATTTTTTAAAAAAATAGAATGAGAAGTTCTAAATCTTCCGAAAGAAAATGAGATGC